CCAGTTTGGTCTCTAGTATCAAGACTATTGAAGGTTTGAGATTGCGCAAAGTCTTTCAGAATCCTCTTTCTTGCACTACCTAGACCTTTTTTTTCTGATAAAAGGTATACATTTTTTTTTTTTGCTCCAAGGGCTACACAACGGGGGTAGCTCATCCACCAACCCATAACCCCCTAACCCAGGTGCAGGCAGGATTCAATCCCAAGCCTCTGCTACAACCAGCAGGAGACCTTACCAACCAGCTGGTTGACACCTTGCACTACCTAGACCTTTTTGTCGATCAATAACTAAAATTCATTTCATTAATTAGAATAAGAGAGAACAAAGAAACAACAGGGAGATAAACTCTCTTAACTCCCCCAAACATATGCAAGAAAATCAATTACAACATAGCCCAAAAAACATTATTTCTTCGCACCCCTTGTTTAGCCAACGTATAAGCCAAGCAGTTGGCATCCCTCTTAACCCAATTCAACTTAACTTCCATTCCTTGTGTCAAGTATCTAAACTCCCTTTTCTCATTGATTTAGCCCCACCACTCCCTCTCCTCCTTTTGGAGCCAGCCGATAACCAGCTTTGAGTTCCCTTCAATTATCAGTTTAGAAAGATATAATCCTTTGGCTTTCTTAATTCCTTCCATCACAGCTAGGATCTGGGCTCTCACCAAAATATAGAGCCATTATTCTGCCATCCTCATCCCTGAAAGCTCCCCCAATTCCTGAAGGTCCAGGATTACCTTCACTACTACCACCAAAATTCAATTTAATGAATCCATTGGTTGGGGGAGTCCATGTTGGCACTATTATCTCTTTCATTGGCGCAGAGTCAGCACTTACCTCCATTTTCTCATCAAATTAGCAGTTGGAATTCCACCAAAAAGCTTCAAAGACTTCACCCAATGTATCACCTTAATTGTAATGACTTCAATTAAGGCATCCCTACTTCTTTCTTTATCTTCAAACATCCTCTGATTTCTCTCTTCTCATAAGGTCCAGCAAACTGCAGACCTTGTACATCTCCATAAAGTTCTTCCCCTCTTCACCCTAATTGTAATGACTTTAGTTAAGGCATCCCTACTTCTTTCTTTATCTTCAAACATCCTCTGATTTCTCTCTTCTCATAAGGTCCAGCAAACTGCAGACCTTGTACATCTCCATAAAGTTCTTCCCCTCTTCTTATGATAACTAACAAAGGTAGGGCCAAACAGTCTTTGTACATTTGGCACTCAAGCAAGGAAGAAAACCATTCCCAAACCTTGCACTACCTAGACCTCTAAATGACGCTTATCCCTCGCCCTCCTCTCAATGACGCTTATGCCTCCTTGTGCTCGGAAGGCTTATGCCTCTCACATTCTGAACTACGCCTCACACATCTAGGTAGTGGAATGCCTCCCATCACACCTCCATGTTTTAAAACATTGCTCTGTTGCCCTTGTTCCAAGTTCTTGTTTACCTTCTCTTTACCTCTCCTCCTCGAATATTTCTGATCTATTTGTATTCCAGATACTGTTAATATTTCTACCTCGGATCTCCTCTTTCTCATCTTTCCTTTTTTCTCCCCTTCCCTTGATTCCACCAAACTAATTCTTATAGCCTCTGTTAAGTCCTCCATTTTCTCTATGTCCTTCCCGGCACCCAATTAATTATTTTTTTGTCTCAAATATTAATTCTCCCTCTTCTATGGCTCTTCTCCCCTTCCCTCTATCTCCAAAATATCCTGACCCTCCTGAAACCCCTCTTCTTCCCTAATAAATTCTAAATTCAAATACCTCTCCATCATGCCTCAAATTACCCCTGCAAACTCCAATTCTTCTTCAAGCCAATTTAACTCATTTAGCTCTATAGACTAATTCACTGTAGCATTAAGATCATTGTCATGCTGTGTATGCTGTTCCCTACCTGTAAATTCAACCCCACTACCAGTACTAGGCAAAGAACTAGGAAAAAGAGCATAGGGAAAGATCGCACCTTGTTGAGGTAGACGGCTATCAGCAGGTTGAGGGTCGGGGTGGTTTTCTATTCCCTCTTGGGCTGTTTGTAGGTCTGTACTCCCATCCATTTACAAAGGTATACTGCAAGAATTATAAATTGCATCATTACTCACCTTCTGAGGAGGCTTCCCAATTGTCTCTGTAACCTGTAGTCATTTCCTCATAGAATTGTTCCTGCCCCAGAGATGGCATCAGCATCTTCCCATTGACCTATTAAATTGCCACTGCCATACTGAAGGACTCCATCTTGGTGATTTTATCCCCCACCACTTCGACCTGGGTCATTTCCTCCAACCACAACTCATTAAACAACAACATTAGATCTCCTTCCTGCCAGATATTACTCTCAACAATCACAGTTGTAGAGCACAAACCTACCATGTCATCATTTATACTACCAATGCCTGAGGTTGCATCAAAAAAAGAAGCCATAAGCTTCCTCAAAATTGTCATTTACTTCTTCCGATCTGATATTACAGAGGTTTCTTTTCTTCAGGCACACTTGCTATCTCAACTTTGTAGAGGATGCCAACAACTGACCAACTTCTCTATCATTACCCTCATCCATCTCTTCTTCACCTGCTTTACTTTTGGCTAATGGAGATTCTGAAGTCTTCTCGTTGATTTCCCCTGCTCTTAAAACTTCCCAACACCCCCATACCTCCTTTTCCCCTTTGATTTTATTTTTGAGAAAAAGGTTAACCAGATTTCATTAAAAAAAAAGCAGAGGATACATGAGCAGATGTACTACACAGGAAAAGAATCTCAATCGGCTAAATAAGAGACTTTTCCCCTTTGATTCAATTGACCCTCTTTGCTGGACCCATTTGTTCTGATTCATTAAAACATTTCTAATCTGCCTGATCGGACTGGCTTATTAAAGATTCACTGGGCCTGTTAGAATGGGCTTTCCTACAACTGTATTCATGTGTGGATCCACTTGGGCCCTCCTTTTTACTGCCTAACACCATTGGACCTGAGCCTAGATTTTGCTGCCACCTTCTCTCTTTCACCCTCTATCACCATTCTTTTTGCTTGTTCAGGGAGTTTTTCCTTTCTCAAAAATTGCAAACGATCAAAAACCAAAGTTGCCCTTGGGGGGGATATACAAGTCTTCAATTTGAATTTTGACTACACCTCTCATTTCAGAACCTTTCATACCCTGAATTTGCACATCATGTCTAACACCATCACTGCCTTCTGCAGTTTCCAGAGAAGACAATAGTCCTACCATCATACCATTATTCCTTGCTTCTATGGCCACTTCGTAAGATTGTTCCCCTACTTACATTTGAACCACTCACGGTACTCTACAAAGATGTACCATTCAATCTGTGATTTTCTCCCATTTGAGGTTCTGCAAAGTGGCAAATTCGCTATTAATCTCCATGAATTCACCATTACACTCGCCGACTGACTTGAAGACCAACCATGTCAACAAGTGAAAGGGTAAGCCAAAACTGTAAATGTCCACCATGCCACCCCTCCATGAAGCCTCGTTAGTTTTAGGAAACCAGGGGTACAATCTAAATCACCCTTGATTCGAAAAAAACCCAATGATTAAGGAGATTCTTTGCTTTTTCTCTCAGCTTTGAACAAAGGATTATAGCTTTCCTTTCGGTCAGCGATAACAAGGTACAGTTACCCTCTAGTTTGAAAATGGCTATGATGTTTTGTCTTAAAGTCCTCCAATTGGGAACTTCATCAGTTTTGCAGACCAGTGCAGTTTCCCAAATGAAGCTACTAGATTCCTCTTAACTATTAGATGTATTGGTGTGACAAGCTTGCCTGGATACCACCACATTTCTTCGGTCTCTTTGAAGCAGAGCCTCTTTAAAATTTTGACACCGTCTCCTATCTCCACCTAGCGCACCTTCTGGAGCTATTACTCTTCCAATTGGACCCCCAGATGTTTTCTCTTGACATAGGAGATTTTCCAAGAAGATTTGCCACCCTTTTCCCTGTTGACCGTAAGGGATGCAGAGATTTTGACTGGCCTTGACCAAAGAACTCAACAAAACCATATAATGCCCTCTATCATTGCTCCTTTTCTCAACAAAATAGGATTGGCCATTCTCTACAAATTTACTCCACCGTCTACTCTGTTCATCCTTTACGGATTTAGAAAAAAAAAAAAAAATCAGCAAACCAACTCACAGCCCTGTTTTTCTAGATAAAAAGAGCCTCTACCACATTCCGTTATCCTGATTATCTCCTTACCAGCCGACGAGAAATGGTAGAAAATAAATTTTTTTGTTCAATAGAAATAGGCATCATCAATGGTCAAAGAAGGTAATTAAGGGTGAGAAAGAAGGTCCCAAGTTGCAAAAGAAAAAAGCACAAAAGCTGAAAGGAAAACAGCAGGTGGAGAGGTTACGGATTAGGACAGGGAGGAGCAGCCAGGAAGGATCACTTAGGACAGTGCTGCAATGCAGCAGCTCCACATCTAACCATGTATACTTGATAAAGAACTTGGCAATTATGATACACAGGATACCGGGTCAGCTGGGTGCTTGTATTTACTGTGGTTGCTATTATACCCCTGTTTAGTATAAAATCAGGACAGAAGAACCCTTAATAATAGAAATGAAAGGACATACTACTCTGCTGCCTGAAGACCTCTAATAAACCATATAAACAGTATACAGAACAGCATTTAATCCTTAGTAAATCAGTCTATAATTACTGATCAACAGGTACGATAAATAGGGGTCTGATCTTCCAAGATTTGGGTGCTGACGCATATTTATATTTAAAGTTTAAGTTACTAATAAAAAACAATAGTTTATGTTACTGATTGAAAAACAAAAATCTACTGAGACCAAATCATCTTTCAAATGACAGCCCCTGTTGTACATCTGAGGATGCTATCACAACCCCATTAAATAAGATGTATATACACTTAAGGAAATTTTGCATAGACAAATCTAGGGAACTTCAATAAATTATCCAAACTTGATTTGACAATTTCAGAATTCATGGAGACAAAACAAATAAAACAGGTCCTTGCCTTGTTTCTTCATTTTTTGGATTCTGATGGAACGTAGTTCTCGCAACCTCTCCACAATCAAAACCAGCTCAAGCTGGGAAAAAAGCAGGGGAACCAAATTTATGATGGAAAACCAAGAAACAGAAAAGCAATCCATAGAATAGTAAAGAATTTAATAAATTCGTATCAATGTAACATAATCACCCATCACACACACTTAATAAAGGCAATCCATTGAACCAACTCAAAGAACAACTATGAATTACAATAAAAGTTAAAACTAAATGTTAGGTATTTAGTTTTCTTCTCTAAGGTGATACATTACCACCTTCCTAATGTACTTTCTTTTTTCTTTAATTAAGTCCTTTTTCTTTGATTATCTTTCAAAAGAAAAGGATAGCTGGATTATGGGTGGAATTAAGGCTATGCACATTACCCATACTCTAAGTCAGCACCAGCATATTCCTAAATCAAATCCAGACATGTTATTAGGTGATTGAGTTGTATCGACAAAACCTTGACAAACTGAACCACTGAGCATGTTGGGTCAAGATTTGATACATAATGGGAAAACTGTGAAAATTAATTTAATAAAGCAATATGAACCTGTGTGATGGATGGAGGGATGGGTTTACTTTGAGTTAGTTGTCGTGTCTAAGAAAGAGACCAAATTTATTGAGTAGAGATCAGAGTGCAACCTCTTGAAACAAGAGTATTTTGAAAATCAGATCAGACCCACCCTACAAGCAAATAACTGTGAAATTCAGATCATTAGGGTTAAATATTAAACTATCCTAACTATTCCAGGGTGTGCAAGAAACAGAGGGTTCTTCTTATTCAGAAGGATGGCTGCATGAATCTTAAAATATTTCCAGCCAACTTTCTCCCAATAATAGCAGAAGCATAATTGCTGTTTTAGCATTGGAAGAAAAGAGATTTTCCTTTCTGAAATTACATGGTCTGACCCTAGTGTATTTTGGAACATAGAATTTGCCACAGATCAGAGTATGGCTGATATTGATGGATTTGCTTTTTTACTGGCTTCTCTGCTTTTTCTGCTATATATATGGCTTGCCCTGAGCTAATGTTTTGCTTCAATTCTATTCCTTGCTGAAAAAATTTAGCCCTCAACAGCCCCTCCAAAGGATTTTTCTTTTCTTTTTCTTTTTTCCCATGTGCTTCAAGAAGATGGGAGCTGCCTATATAAAGTAGGTACATACAACAATTTGCAGAGAAAGAGATTTGGCTACAGATAATTATTCCACATGCTTGTATTTTATTCTGTGGGATCAAAATCAATTAATTGTTGGACTTAGATTTGGAGTGAAATTCCCCTGGTCTGACAAACCTATTTCCCCAGACAAACATCACAACCAAAAACTTCCCTTGTTGATTTTCTTAATTTAGGTGCACCTACCATGAAAGGAAGGGCTAAAGAACTAGCAGACTTTACTGACTAAAAAAACAGAACTAGCAGGCTTAAAACAAAAACCTCCCTTATTGATTATCTAAAATGGCTCACCAGACAAAACCTCACAAATAAAATTAAGGAACAAAAGGTTAAAGCACCAAAGAACTAGGACTACATGAGCATATGGCTACAACATAAGAAACCCATATAGATTAAGTCACAAAGTATGGTGGTAAAGACCAAATCAACCCATATAATAAACAAAATATTCCAGAAATGTAGACATTAATTTTTTTTTATCAGTAAATGTAGACATTAATTCCCCAATTATTATGAGTACATATGCTGCAGAATCTCCAGTATCTATCAAACCCTCCTTCCCCCAGGTGAAAGAAAGACATAAATGGAACGAGAAAATAGAGGAAGAAAGGAAGGAAAAGAACACTGTAAATACAAACTGAACACCAGGTTCAAGTTTCCCATGCTTTTTACCTCAGATTCTAGTCTCTGTCTCTCTTCATTTGCTTTAAGTTTTGCAATTTCTTTCATCTTCTCCACCTGTAAATACCCAATGTTAAGTTAGAAGATCTAATAAAATCTGCAATTCTATGTGCAATTTCAGCTACCAATCAGGATAACAAACATACAAGAAAGGGAAAAAACAAAAAAAAAAAACTAATAAGAAAGAAAATAATGGAAAAGAAACTGATTGCATTTTTTAATACCAAAATAAAATACCATTAATGCATCAAAACTGTTTCATAAATCAAATACCATAATATAGTCTTTTTAAACTAAACATTTAGATATATTAAATATGTAACTAAACAGACCACACCATTATATCACCCATAAACAATCAGGGAGATGATAACAAAACTTTTCGCAAAATCCATGCAAGCAATAAATATAAATATATAAAAATATGCATTTTTTGAACCAATTTTACTTGATTTAGTGAAGATACAGATAAGATAACTGAAACATTTTAGTTCTGGAATGGCAAGAGGAATCATATTTTGTCACCATGTGCTAAATGTCCTGTAGCCCATGAATTTTTTTGCCACAAGGAGGACATGTCATACCCAAAATATTCATGTAATTTAAAAAGAAAGAACAAAAAATTAAAAAGAATGAGGTTTCACAAGACCACATGGAATGATAAGATTAAGTCTTGGGGTGGGGGCAGTAAAATGAAGTCAATTCAGTATTAGAAGATTTCTAATTTTTACAAACATTTCAACTCAATAATAAATTCATTTCAAATCATGACTTTAGGTATTTAAATGCAAAGGAAAACTAATGTAAAATTATCTCATTTGATGTGAATTCCAAATGTTACTTATTTAATGGAGAGGTTTGTACCTTTCGCCTTGCAATGCCCTTTGCAATCTCTCTAGCCCTCCATTCATCAGCCTCTTGATCAGCTTGGTCAAATCGTTCACACTCCTAAAAGTCATAGAAAAAACAAATTACATAAACAAACATTTCCCCAAAGTAGAAGAGAAGGAAGAAAAATGTCAAGGAAAGAAGTAAGATAGCTCCCCTCCTAAGGCAGAATTGAATCACCTTGGAAAGCATTTCTGCAATAAATTTCCTCTTCCTCTTCCTCCAATGCTTATTTCGTTTGGATTTCTGTATTCTATTGGCCACTTTGACTGCGGCAGACATCTCCTCCCATGAACTTGTTTGACTGATGAGAGAATTAAACGGCTCAAGCTGACTTTTCACACTTGAGCACAAAGAGTTTGCAGCTTCCAATGTGAGGGATTCTTGTAGTTTTAAACCAACCCTCTTTGTTCTAATTACTTCGGAAAATCTATGAAAGGAAACATTAAGAGGTGTACCATCTACATTCTCCAACGAACCATTATTTTCTTTTGTCACAAGCATCACCTCTAGTTCTTTCTGCCTGTTTGTGATTATTTGGGTCATAACCATAATAAGGAAAACTTTTTGATAACCACAAATACAGGTTATAATAAGGAAAAACTTTAAATATCAACTTAACATGAATTAAAACAATATCTGCAAAAAAAAAAAACTAAAGAATAGATTCCATACACTGTTTTCATTAGCTGAATAGTATCTTGTAAGTTTCTCAGACAATCATGCACCTGTCCAGTCTCCCAAAAAGAACTGGATGCTGAGGAGACAGGTTGCAATGTTGGAAACCAGGGTGTGGGTGTCCCAGATGAAAATGGCATCAAATTCATCTTAAGGATGGAAGAAAAGAACACACCTGCATGGAGAATCCATGTTTATCAACTTATAAAGAACATATAGAAGAAGTAATCAATCTAATTAACATGGAATAGTCTGGCAGATCATGTAAACATTAATGCCTCCTAATTGAATGAATTAGATCATGATTAAATCGAAATAAGTTTTATCAGACTATGGTTTGATCTTCGGACTGAGAACCAACAGCAACAGGCGGTTTTTTTTTTTTTTGTGGATCAGTAACAATCAAAACTTTTAATTACTCAGAATAAAGCACATTATGATGATGAGGAGTGCAGCTAGCCTCAGCTAACCACCTTTGAAACCTTTTAATTACAAATTCCGCTCAGACATATCCCCAAAGTATTTGTTCTCTTGTTGCTCCTTGTTTTTCTAGACCATCAGCTAAACTGTTAGCAGACCTATAGAACCAAAATGCCTTGGCTCCCAGTTCCTACATGTCTATACTTCCATAATCCTTCTTGTTCTTTTTGCGACAAGCCTACTACAACCCTCAAATCCCCTTCAATAATTAAGTTCTTGCAGTTCAGTTACTTTGCTTTTTTGAAGTCCATACAACACTGCTTGCAATTCAGCCCTTGTTGAGTTCCCATGTCCAATTGGGCCTGAGAACATGGCTGGTATGCTTCCTTATCTCTAATTACTCCTCCCACTATGGAAAGGCCAGGTTGCCTATGCTGCACCCATCAAAATGTAACTTGAGGTGTGTGGAAGGTGGTGTTTTCCACTCAGCTCTTACTTTTGGACTATTTGACGAGGATTCTGACACCATTATCCAATTTCTTGTACTATATCATACATTGTGAATGGGCTAAAAAATGTCCAAGGTCATCACCCATTGATGAGATTTGAACTTCAAATTTTTGTAAATTCTAAAAACTATTTAATGACTTTAAATCAACTGGACCCATTAAGAGAGAAGCACCTTTATTCTACAACGGAGTTGTGGATAGATGGACCTGTATACATACCCAAGATCATTGTTTTCTCTGGATTAACTGGTAATTCCATTATTACCCAATGCAGTTGGGGATAGATGGACCTGTTTCTTAATCTACACTCATGCCCTTTACCTATTTAAGAAACAAATTACGCACCACAGACTATGCAACAAATAGAAGGAGAATGAAAAATGACTCCTATTGGAAAAAAAATAAAAAAATAAAAAAATAAAAAGAAAGAAAGAAAGAAAGAATGTTAACCAAGATCTAAGAAAAGAGCAATTAGTCGCAAGATCCCTTTATTCTTGTTGGGTGTGCATCCAGACCATATGAGCAGCCCACCCCATGAATGCATGCCTCCAAAAATAAGCATATTAAAGAAGCTCTACAAATCTACTGTCTTTGTTTTTTGAGTTTGGTCACTCCTTGGGCAATTTCTCTCCTAAGTCCTAACCCACTTTGTGAGAAACAGATGATTCATTGAACATGTTACAGACTGTATAATTAAAATAGGAAGATGTTACAGACTGTATAATTAAAATAGGAAGTAAATACTAGGGAGATATGATGTTACAAACTGTATAACTAAAATAGGAAGTAAATACTAGGGAAATATAATGTTACAGACTGTATAACTAAAATAGGAAGTAAATACTAGGGAGATATGATTTACCTTG